GAATGGTTCCATAGTCTTGTGTGCTTGTGCATTTTTCTATGCTTGCCAGAATAGCAAGAAGATAATTTTTCTAGTTCAGAGTGTCCCAGCCAAAACAGATGAGGATGTGGAAAATACATATCTAATTTGAATTTGGCTGCCACAGTAATCTGACTAATAGCACAGAGGCCACATTAAATGAAAGTATTTGGTACTTAACTAAATTATATCTGTGATTTCAATTATAGCTCAGGGTGCGTTATTGTTAGCAACTTAATTCCACTTTATCACCTACACTGAAAATATAATAATGTAATTTCATGTTTTAATTCCTAATTGCTTGTTTTCAGCTTTGGAAAGTTAATTAAGACATTCAAACTTATAAAAAACAAACACGAGAATATATTAAATGCCATATTTTCATTTAATACTATGCAGTATACATTAAGGAACAGTTAGAAAGAGAGAAACTTTTTATTTGAAATACATATTTTTAAGTGATAGAGGTTGTGATTATGGCTTAATGTACCAATTTATGTATTAACATTGTTACTTTTATTGACATTTAACTTTAAAACCATTGCATTGGCCAGCCAGACTGTAATTCAATATAACACACAATGGGCAATTAACGTTAGACTGCAGAAGGTTGTATTTGAGGATTTTCTGTGCATTCTGAGCTAGTAAGTAACTTTATGTAAATGGCAGAACCTTCTAAACTAGTCTCCCTGGTAAATACATCTTCTTTAGTGATGTCCCGAACGGTTCACCGCGGACGGCGAACATATGCGCTGTCATGGGTGGCTCTCTTCCTATAGAATAGCCTGCCTACTGCCATCAGACTCTCCTCTAGACTTCAATCATTTAAGAAGTGCCTTAAAACCCATCTCTTTAGGAAAGTTTATGGCCTTCCAGAGTAACCTCTGCCTTACATACCTCTTTTGCTCTCTCTTAAAGGGCAGGACTCTACTCTCTCTTCCAACTCTGCTTCACTCCCACCTTATGTGATTGCTATTTCCCATAGACTGTAAGCTCGTTTGAGCAGGGTCCTCCTTAACCTGTCGTTCCTGTAAGTTTTCTTGAAATTGTCCTATTTATAGTTTAACCCTCCTTCTCAAAATATTGTAAAGCACTACAGAATCTGTTGGCGCTATATAAATAACAATAATAACCATATTAATAATAATTATAATATGTTGCAATATTACAATTACTGGTCTCTGCTATGGCACTAAAAGGTAGACATGGAGATTTGTTTTGGTCCAAACTGCAATTCATCTGTAGGAGGATCGGTTGAATTCCCGAGCTTCAAGTTAAAATGTAGCCGAATCACGAACCAACCAAAATGTTGAATGACTGAACATGTTCGTATTAACTCCTGATTCTGAATTCAGCTGAGGCCGACAAAAAAAAGATATGATTGATGAAAATGGTAATTGATGATTACTGGAAGACGCTAAATGTTGATTGTATTCACAGATCAAGTGAGAAGTGACCAAGAGAGGGAAAAAAAGGACAAGCAGTCAAAATATGATCTATATATTATATATTAATTATTCTAGAAATAGTTTACTGTTCTTCCTTTTTTACCTCAATTACCATATATACTCGAGTATAAGACGAGTTTTTCAGCACATTTTTTTCAGCACTCGTCTTATATTCGAGTCAATGTCTGTATTATAACAACTTACATTGCCATAATACAGTCCAGGACCGCCGGGCTCATTACAAGTCCGGCGGCCCTGTTGGGGGCTGGCAGAGAGCTGTTACTTACCTTTCCTGCAGCTCCTGTCCGCTCCCTTCTCTCTCCTCCGGGCCGGTCAGCTCCACTGCAAGTCTCGTGAGAGCCGCGGGGTCAGAGCTCCGCGCGGCACTCACACCGCGAGACTTACAGGGGAGCTGACCGGACTGGAGAAGAGAGAAGGGAGCTGACAGATGCTGCAGGAAAGGTAACAGCTCTCTGCCAGCCCCCTCCTACACAGCCCATCCACTGGACCACCAGGGAGTGAGAGCCCCCCTCCCTGGCCAGCTAACAAGTATGGAGGGGGGAACGAATAAAAATATAAATAATAATTTAAATAATAATAAAATAAAAATAATAAAATATTAATAATATAACAAAAAAATAATATTAAAATAATAATTTTAAAAAATAATAAAAATGCCCACCCCCCACCAAGGCTCTGCATCACATACACACACACACACACACTGCATTCATACACACACACACACTGCATTCATTATATACACACACTGTAAATAAATATTCAATTAATATAATTTTTTGGGGATATAATCTTATTTAGAACTTTACCAGTAGCTGCTGCATTTACCACCCTAGTCTTATACTCGAGTCAATACGTTTTCCCAGTTTTTTGGGGTAAAATTAGGGGTCTCGACTTATATTCAGGTCGACTTATACTCGAGTGTATATACAGTAGATACTTTTTTTTTAATTTGATCTGTGAATTAAATGGTGGGAAAATGCTCCTATCAGTGAACTGCAAAATATATACATACTATTTATACCATGCAGCAAACACATTCCCGCTCAGGTCTCAAAATAGTTGTTACTCACTTATGCCATTACAGAGAGAACCTATTCCAAGGCATGTCAGACTGGTCCCACACATAGGGGCAGTAGATATACAGCATAGTTGATACACCTCTAGGCAGCGGCGTACTAAGGTAGGGCGGACCGCCCCGGGTGCCACTGGGTAGTTGGGTGCCACCAGGTTTGGCCTTGGGAAGGTGTGAGCTGTGTGCTGCACAGGGTGCCGGGCAGCCAACACAGCTCACACACGCAGGGGCCGGGAGCAGGAAAACTTCTCGGAGAGCCGGGGGTGGAGCCAAATCGGCAGTTGAGGCTGAGCCAAATCTGCAGCAGGGGCGGAGCTAAAGGCACCCGCTGTTGCTAATTCTGCACACAGAGGGGGAGGCAGGAAGGAGTCCCTGCTTCCCCAACAACTACACACCAGGGACTTCAATGATTCCACTCCTCCTCCAGTAAGTGAGAGTGTGTGTGTGTAACTGTGATTGTGTCTGTCTGCTTGTGACTGTTTGTGAATGTGTGTGTGTGTCTGTGTGTGGGTGACTGTGTGACTGTCTGTGACTGTGTGTGTGTATGTTACTGTCTGCCTGCGACTGTGTGTGTGACTGTCTGTGACAGTGTGTGTGACTGTCTGCCTGTGGCTGTGTGTGACTGTGTGTACGACTGACTGGGTGTGACTGTCTGCCTGTGACTGTGACAGTGTGTTTGGCTTTCTGCCTCTGACTGCGAGTATTACTATCTGACTGTGACTGTGTGTGACTGCCTTTGACTGTGTGTGCAGCGGTCTACCTGTGATTGTGTGTGTGACTGTCTGCCTGTAACTATGTGTGTGAATGTCTGCCTGTGACTGTGTGTGTGACTGTCTGCCTGTGACTGTCTGCAACTGTATGTGTGACCGTCTGCCTATGACTGCGTGTATGACTGCCTGCCTGTTTCTGCGTGTGTGACTGTTTCCCTGTGCCAGTATGTGACTGTCTACCTGTGACTGTCTGCCTATGACTGTGTGATGCTGCCTGTAACTGTGTGTGTGTAACTGTCTGCCTGTAGCTGTGTGTGTAACTATGTGCTTGGGACTTTGTGCATATGGCTGTATTTGACAGTATATTTGTATAACTGTGTGCATCTGACTGTGTCTGACTGTCTTCGTCCTGCAGTGAGCCGGCAGGTGGGATATGACGTTATCCCGGCATCAGTGTCATTACAGTGCACAGATCCCAGCAGCAACCACTGAGCACCAGCCCTACACTCCAGCCCTCCCCAACCAAGGTAGTGTGTGTGTGTGTGTGTGTGTGTGTGTGTATGTATGTATATATACACATACATATATACACAACCACAGATGTACACACATACAGACATACATCTATTGTGTTATTGTGTGTATATAAATGTGTATGTGTTTAGTAGATAGTTCCCTTATTTGATGTCCTTAAAGTAAAAAAGTCCCAATAATTAGCTCCAGACATTTTTTTACTTTATATAGAAGCAACTGGCTTTTTTTATTTTTTATTTTATGCTTTTGATTTTATATTTAAAGTTGCAATAAATTTATGTGTTTTAAACAAAGTCCCATCAGCTTTCAACTTCCTCTTGCTGCTAAAGAAGGGCAGGTGACCCCCTCTAGAGGCACCCAGGTCTATCATCCAGAACCAGGTTCTCATTGGCTCAGGAAAAGGTGAGCACAACTGTAACGGATCGACGGGCACCCCGACTGGGTACCTCCGTTGAAGGATGCTCCTAGTGCTTCCTGAGGACTCCAAGCACTGCAGCAGACACTATAACCACTGTAGACTCCTCCAGAGAGCAGGACAGGAACAAGCTCTTACAAGAGCTTAGCAGTGAATATAGCAAGAGAGTATGCAGAGCATAGCAATCCCTTGTAGCAGATTCCCCCAATAAGAGACGGCACTCCAAATTGAGGGTGAAGTAGAACTGATTGTACTGGCCCATACAGCCTCTTTTATTCACATTCTACAAACATAGTACTGCCCACAGGGTTTTGAAGAACAACCAATAAACACGTACAATACACTCAGACACTCCCATACTAAACCCTCCCCTCTGCCTGTGATACAATTACCTTACACAATGGGTTAATATAATTATCACAGGCAGGAAAATACACAGTTTTACACAATATTCATAACTTTAAAAGTATGCATCACATTCACATAAAATACCAACATACGTCAAAATCATACAAATTGGTCCAGTGGGTCAAAAGTTAGATCAACGTCCTTTGTGACCAAATGAAGCATGGCTTTTCTCCCAGTTCCACAGAGTCTTCTATCCTGGAGACAATTGGGAAGTAATCCAATTATATCCAAGGACAGAGGCAAAACTCCATTAGCCACATGGTAGCAAAATACAATAAAATACATAAAAAATATATAACTGTGCAACTATTGCATAAAACAGGTACATTCAACATATCCCCAGATAGCTTAGATCTGAGCGCACATTATTACTGAATGGCGCTCAGATCACATACATACAGTTCAATTGCCATGGAGCCAAAGTCTTTCACATTGTCTTTGGTTATACGAATGGGCTCCATGGCATAGCTATCTGGGGTAACACTGCTCACATAGGGAAAGTACCGAATGACCTGGCTTTCGGGTCTTTGCAGGGGAAAATCAAGCATTTCAACATGGGGCCATAGTCACAGGGCAGGAGGCTGGCAATCAGTCTTCTCCAATGCCCAGTGGCGAGGCTGGTTCCGCCACAGCAACCATAACCGTTGTGTTTCTCATTTGGGTTGAAACTTAATATACTAGGAAGTCGCCCTTTCTCTTTCGGTAATCCTTTCCAGGCAAAATGGTGCAGTGTCTTCATACGACACTACTGTGCAAGTGATTTGAGCCTGTCCCTTTGAGGCTCTAATCAATGTGAGTTTGACTATTTAAATTATCACCAAAATACACCATCAATTGTGGATTTACACTATATTGTGTTGTGTTTTTTTTGTTTCCTTTATATGTATTGATATACACCTGAGATTTAACCCTATTTTAGGGTAAGTGTATACCATTAGTGCTCCACTCACTTGATTAGTAGAGTCTGGATGTCACATCCAGATTGTACTAAACTCACTTTTGGTTCATTGCTATAATTAGTGGGGATAAGAGAGTATCCACTAGAGTGTGTAGCTGCTTATTTATAATTCAATTATACTTGTAAGCACACTATACACAGTAATCACCAATCTGTGTGTTTTATTATAGTATATTGCCAAAGGTCTCTCTAATAACTAACATAGATCATTGATAGCTTCTCACTGTGTGTATCACCTCATCTGAAATGTTTGATGTATTTTTGTTTCCACAATAAATCATTGATGGCACCAATACACCTTGCATTTCCTTTTTGTGCTTTGGACCTTGTTTGTTTTGTTTTATATTATCGTATCATCTGTGAAACAGACAGAACTTTGTTCTTTAGAATTGGCACAGCACACACTCAAGTGACCTTGAAATAAAATAATTCCAGATATTTTCCAACTAATGGCTAAAGCTTAAATAAATCCAGTTGTTCTGAAAAAGTTCCTTATTAGTTTTGTAAACCATTCACAGCAGACACATTTTTGAGGCAAATGCTTGGTGAGCTCATACTTTTATCCACAAATTAAATCACAGCAAATTAAAACTAATACAATTCTAATACCAATTAATACTAATAAAATTTAAATAATTAAAGCAGAAACTCAAAAGGAGAAATCTGATCTAAATTGTTAAGTCTTTGTGTCTTTTAGATACTGAAGTAGAACCCTGTAGAACTCTAAATAACATAGTTAACAGCCTGCTAGCTTAAAACATATAAAAAGACAGGAGATTTTTTTTAATTCAGCTAATCTTTAAATATAAATAAAAGGCAAAAATATAATTATATATAATGATTTGGATTCCTATGCTTCTGCACTTCCAAATGACCCCGCACGTCTTAGAAATGTATATATTTACATTTCTATGTTACATCTCGTGTTTGGAATTTCTCACGTTACTGCTTAATTTAATTTCCCTCACCCAGTTCCCCTCTACTGTGCTTTGTTCTATTCATTTAAAAAAGAAAAATCACAATTTGCAAGGAAAGAATTGCTTTCGTGTTTTATGCTTTTACACATACAAATCCGAATCAAAGGTGTTGAGCTTTTTTTTTTTTACATTTATCTTAAAGACAATAGAAAAATGCAAATGTAGATATGAGACTGCGCTATAAAGGATTATGTTAACCATCGTAACCATTGCAGCCAGCTATAGTGGTTATGATGGTAGAAGTATCGTGGCACCATTTTTTGGTTTTGAGGCAAGCTATTTTACAAAGGCTTGCTCACTTACCTGGATCCCTGCTGGGCACGTGGTCTGCTGTCAAATGGGTTTAACGGCACCCAGCTTCTGCAGAGCTGCTGAACATCAGGTGATCGCTCTCAGTCAATGAATGCAACTCTGTGCAAGGAATATGCACAGCATTCACATTAGCCAGCCTGGAACTCTTGTTCCATGTTGGCTAAAGGAGTCCCTTGGCGCTCCTGCAGTTAAAGAAGAAGATATATTGAACTATTTATCCTATTTATTTGCAATGTTTGCACTGTGCCTTGTCTGAATTAGATAATAATGTTATTTGCTACACATTTAAATTTTTTTTAAATAAAACCGCATCTCATGGGAAAAAAAGCTGTTTCCTGGTGGGCTGCAGCCTCCCCCCCCCAGCACCAATTCTCCAGGCACCTGAAGGTGGTGGAGCCCTGTCACAGAGGGCCCAAAGGTGTGTTTCTTCGGTATGGCAGAGCAGGCACCTGCTTACCTTGATGGCAGGTGCCTGCTCTGCCGATAAATGCCAGAACAGAGGAGGCAAGCGGAGGCAGTGTGGGCGGCGAGCGAGGCTGTACTTGCAGCTTCCCACTCCTCCCTCACACGCCCTCTATGATGACTGGAGCTAGAATATGACGTCATTCCAACCTCGGCATACTAAACAGCACACTGAAGGAGTGAGGAGCTGCCCCACACTGGACCCCATGGAGGTAGGGAGGCTGGATGGGTCTCAAAAAGAATTTGTGTGAATGTGTGTGTCAATGAGAGTGTGTGTTTGACTGTCAGTGAGGGAGTGTATGTATGTCAGTGAGTGTCTGTGTGTGTGTCTGTCAGTGAGTGAGTATGTGTCTGACAGTGAGTGTGAGTGTGTGTCTGTTAGTGGGTGTGTGTCTGTCCGTGACTGTGTGTGTCTGTTAGTGTGTGTCTGCCAGTATGTGTAATTGTCTATCAGTGAGTGTGTCTGTCAGTGTGTGTGCTCGTCTATGCTAGTCTTATTATAAATTAAATTCACCAAATGTATTGAATACATAATTTATCAGAGCAATAAATTATGTATTCAATGTACAATTTATGTATTAGGCAGTATGTGTGTATGGATGTATGCATTAAGCAATATGTGTGTATGGATGTAGATATTGGGCAGTATGTGTGTATGGATGAATATATTAGGCAGTATGTGTGTATGGTGTATGTATTAGGCAGTATGGATGTAGGTATTAGGCAGTATGTGTATATGGATGCATGTATTAGGTAGTATGTGTGCATGGATGCATGTATTAGGCAGTGTGTGTATGGATGAATTAAAAACAGCTCACTCAATGCTGTTGTGTTTGAGACTGTGTGCATAACTTTGGTAAGGAAGCCTTTGTGGCATGAAGCAGTGTGGCTAAGAAAGCAGGCTTTTGGTTCAAAAGTCTGTTAACAATTTATTTATTTTGTGCAAAAACTATAAAAATTTGCACAAAACTGCAGGAATTTATAATGAGACCAAAATCTATCAAATGCATTGATGCCTGAAATGTTCCTGTAATCAAGGATTACTTTTTTCTCTAGTGATATGTTATAAAATCCTTGCAACTCAATTACTTAGGAGTGATATAATTACCTAGGTGTGATATAATTATTAAGGTCATATTGTAGAAGAAGGAGGTACTCAAGATCCTAATCCAGAATCCATACTCGAATAACTACTTAATGTGTTTGCATGCCTGTGTATTATTATGCCAAGTGATATGCAATGGGTCGGAGGGAGCGGATAAGTTTATGCTTAGCAGACGTCAGGGCACACTGTGCAGAATGAAAGCTCTTAATTAAACACACTAATTGCAATGGGCAGCAGATACACATAGGATGTACAACATTATCCATCCTGGTAAAATATTTTATAAATAAATAAATGATGTAACTGGTTCTGTAGCAGTATGGCTGTGTTGCCTGCACAATCGTTTTTCTCTTTGGTTCCTTGGAAACAGCTAGATGCAGTGTTATAATGCAGAAACATTTTTGTTGGAGCTCACTTATGTCTTGGAATTCTAGATAATTACTTTATTTAATTCTATACATAATACCCCATATTATATTGTGTTATACTATACTATACTACACTTCATATGGAGTATGCAATTTTTGCCAATTCCTAATCACAGACATACACAATCAGTATTCATTTTATCTGTAATAGAGTTGACTTGTTATCTGTATAAAGATAGACCTCATGATGGGCATTCTTTGATATGTATGTTTACATAAATTAATGAAACCGTTTATTTTTTTTAACCACAGTCTCAGTTTTAAGTTTGCTGTTTTCAAAGTGTCTTATGAATGCAATATCATTAAAATGTTGCTATATCAAATAAAGAATAAATAACGGTTCAAGCACTCCAGAATAACAAAAAGCTTTATAGTTCATGATAAAGCTTGCGACGAAACGTTGCATTTTATAATCCAATAAAGCTGCTATTTTTCTTATCCCGGAGTGCCTGAACCATTATTTGTTCTGCATATCTTGGAAGGGAGGCCTGTCCAGCCCTAGCTTCAGATCACCTGGGTTATTTGTGAGTGTGGTATCCAGTACGGCTCTGCTATATCAAATACAGAGTTTTAAGATGCCCCTTTTTGATGACTATAATTTAAATGTATGTGATTTTTTTATTTTTTTTTTAAATCTCCTCTATTCACAAAACATTTTTTTGCATACTGTAGTACAGGGCTTTTAATCAATTTCTATGTTTTTTTTTCTGTGGAACCTCTCTCATTGATTTTATATGTCTTGCATGATTTTCTGGTCAATATTTTAAACAATGTTGCATTCTATATTTTGAAAACCATCAATGCCTTTACAGATATATCTTCAAAAGATTTTACACAGAGAATCATGTGAGGAGCATGTTGTGTGAGTGATGTACATTAGTCATCTTAAAATACTCAATTCTAAAAAAAAAAAAAAAAACATAAGCAGAAAATCGATTTTTCTCTGTGAATTGGCAGCTCTCTATATTTTGCATTTCTAATTTTTCAATCTGTTCAGCTGTTTTCTTTTTCAATATGTTTAGTATTAGAGACAAGTCTACCATACAGAGATATGTCTTTAATACATCTGACTATCCAAACTTCAAAGGTAAGTATTACAATAATAGATTAAACAACAAAAATATTGTAATAAAAATGAGATAAAAAAATATATGATTTATTTATTTATTTATTAAATATTTTACCAGGAAAGATACATTGAAATTTCTCTAGTTTTCATGTATGTCCTGGGTCCATGAAACACTACATTGATACATTAGGGTACAATAAAATACAAAAACAATATTAATACACAACATATACAATCAAATATAAAAACAATATTAATACACAATATATACAAAATATACATAGAACAGGTAG